TAAAATGAACATTGTGTGATTGAGATATGTGTAAATGAGAGAGAAGTGATAAAACCACAAAATAATTGATTAAAAGGAAAATTGACAAAGTCTTTGGGATAACTAATAAAGAAAAGATAACAAAGTTTGAAGAGATGGACTTAATATTTGAGTGTTTGTAAATCATTTTTATTTTGCCAATTCTATGTTAATCACAAAACTTCAACCTTTAATGACCCACTATCTCCTGATAATAAATAGAGGGGCATAGATGGTGCCCGTTTGGTGACCCTGAGTTATCAGTTTTTTATTTCTCGGCAAACACGTAGCTTTTGATTTCATGCGCTGAGTTATGTAATAATCAAAATATGTAAGGTTGAAGTTACTTTTCTGGTTAGAATGACTGAAGTTATTGTGGAAGACTGGTTTAGTTACTTTCATCTATATTTTTAATTTTATTGATAAAACATATTTATTTATTTTTCATAATAAAGCAGAATTAATCAATCTAGCCACTTCAGCCAGAACATCATAAATTTCAGTAGAATTATATAATCCAGTCAATTTCAGTGTTACCAAATGGACTCATTATAATTTATAAATAAATCTCCTAATAATAATACAAACGTAAATTGAGAAGAGAAAATGGAAACTAATATTCCAACCTTTTAGCAATCTTCTTACAATAGTCTCACCTTTTTCGTAATTCAAGAATAATCCAACATTTGCACCCCATCTTCATTCGTTGGTCCCTGATCGGTTAATGACCTGGTATTCCAAGTTATTTTCTTATCTTTGCAAAATATTATCTTTGTGAAAGGTGAGATTTATGATATAATGGTTTGCAAAGATAAGAAAATAACCTGGAATAACAGGTCATCAACCGGTCAAAGACCAGTGAAGGAAGATGAGATGCAAAGGTTGGATTATTCATGAATAACGAAAAGGTGAGACTATTGTAAAAAAATCGCTAAAAGGTTGGATTATTAGTTTTCATTTTCCCAATTGAGAATGTGTTACAAACACAACATACTACTCAGAGATCGTTTGGTAACATTGAAATTGACTTCATCGATTGATTCTGCTAAAATTTATGAAGTTCTGGTTAAAGTGGCTGTATTGACTGATTCTACTGATTTATGAAAAAAAAAATCAAATACTTTTCTTTAATAAAATAAAGAAAAAATTATACGAAAAATAGTTAAAATTGTTTTCTGCAGTAATTTCAACCAATGTAGTCAGAAAAGTAACATCAATCTTACTTATTTTTACTATTACACTATTCAACACGCGAAATCAAAATTATCTCTTTGGTGCAAAAGTTAGATTATAAGGCTGATAAACAAAAGAACAGGGTTTCCAAACGGGTCTCACGCGAAATCAAAATTATCTCTTTGCTGCAAAAGTTAGATTATAAGGCTGATAAACAAAATAACAGGGTTTCCAAACGGGTCTCACGCGAAATCAAAATTATCTCTTTGCTGCAAAAGTTAGATTATAAGGCTGATAAACAAAATAACAGGGTTTCCAAACGGGTCTCACTAATATATTTATGAATTCCGACCAGTTACAAGATGCCTGTCTCCAGGTAATTGTTCGTGCCAGAATGTAGAAAAAAAGAGTAACTCTTTATATGTCACTAAGATAAGTGTTAACAAGGTCCAACTATACTAAAGTGCCATAAATCGGAATAAAACACACAACGAGCATGCGTAATGTTTTTGTCCTAATTATGAGTATATGTCACTAATATATATGACTCTTTTCTCGAATTCCAGCATTACCAATTACTTCCTCCATCACTTTATCATAATCATTGGTGTCACTTATTTTATCTTTTTCTTTTGTCGTTTTAAGCATGCATGTTTCATTTCCATATTTGATAATATTTCAATGATACCAACTCCGGATATCTTTATAACAGCATTGCTCCATATCTCAATTTTAGAGGAGTGAAGTTAGTACTTTGGGACACACTTCTTGTAACTAATTGGAAAGATACTAGTATGATGTTAAGATATTAGTATTAGTATTAGGAGACCAAAAAATGATTTGTCAAGGAGTCATATAAAGTCAAGAAACTAAAAAAGAGTGATGCAAATTAAGAGCCTGTTTGGTGACTTTATATTTCAGCTTATCAGACTTATCAACCAACTTTTAACCAAACACATAATTTTTTATTTCGCGAGCTGAATTGTGTAATAATAAGAAAAAGTAAGGTTGAAGTTACTTTTCTGTATTGGCTGAAGTTACTGTAGATGATTATTTTAGCTATTTTTCATACGAAGTATAATTTTTTTATTTTATTAATAAAATACTCCCTCCGTCCCGCAAAGATGTTCCCGGTTTGACTTACACACATGTTAAGGAAATAAACTTACCAGGGGTAAATTTTACTGTTTTGACACTATTTCGACACTGTTTGGCACTGTTTGACACTGTTTTGATGTAGGATAACTTTCCATTTAGGAAAAGAGGAACTTCTTTTTGGGACTGCTAAAAAAGGAAAGCGGGAACATCTTTGCGGGACAGAGTGAGTATATTTTAAATTATTTTTTTCATAAATCAGCAGAATTAGCCTATACGGCACTTCAACCAGAACATAATAAATTTCAGCAGAATCAGCCGATTCAGCCTATACGTAACAAACGGGCTCTAAAACATTTGAGCTGGGAAGAAATTAAAGTAGAGCAAGAGTACAAAATACTGTAGATGAGGTTGGTCTCTGAGTTTTCAAGGAGAAAGGGCAGAAATAGGATCCCTTGTAGGAGAAGCAAAGATGAACAGTATGATTTACTGGGGAGGAAATTCTTGGAAGCAGAAGTTCTATTAGCTACATGCATTAATGCTGCTCCTAGCTAGCTTAGAGCTCAGGTATCAGAGGTATAGCTTTTGGGGAAATGGGACAAATATCACTTCTTCCCCTTTTGTTCTGTGAGAAATAATTTAAAAAGAAGCACTCACCAAATGAAATCTTGGACCCCAAAACTAAAGAAAGACAGCCATCAAAACAACCATCACCTGGTTTTCCATCTCTATATATACCATACAGCACTAAATTCATTCATTCATTCATTCCTCTCTCAATCTCATCTTCACCTTATTCTAAGATCACTCTGAATTTAGTTTGCCTCTTTCTTTCCTCATCATCACAACAGAAAAAGAATGTTTTCCAGGTCTTACATCCTCCTCTGTCTTCTCCTCACATTAGCTTTGCCTAATGCAGAAACCAGGCCTTTTGCTCCCACCAATTCTTCACCACTTCAGGTGTGTTAATTTAAATTTATTTAGTTACTTAACCCAAAAAACTTACCATATGCATTCTCAGAATCATCTATTTTTTCCACCCTTAACAAAACAGAACTGTGACATTTGTGTTCTGCACTTCAAATTTTATGGTAACAGTCATCATAACATTTTGACTTTGAGTTGACTGTGAGTGGTTTGTGTATTTAAATTGTTTGCTAATTGTATATGGAAGGGTGAGAAGAAAGCAGAAGGGGGGAGGAGAATAGGGTCATTTGCACCAAGGTGTGATCACAAATGCTATGGATGCATGCCTTGCGAAGCCATCCAAGTGCCAGCCACCAACGGCGGCGGAGGAGGCGGCGCTGCGGCGGGTGTTCAGCAGTACACAAACTATGAACCTGAAGGCTGGAAATGCAAGTGTGGGCCCGCCCTTTACAGTCCTTAGTTCAACTTCTACACCAATACATATGTTATATTGAAGAGGCCGGCCATTATCATGCATGAATGGATGGGCGGAGCAGTAGTTTTTGTTCTCAAATATATATAATGAGATGAGATTTGTTGTGTAGAAATCATTTCGCCAATTATGACGGATGAAACTAATAGACTATTCCATTCTATTTTGTGTCTGTTTTTGGACTTTTGGGAAGCCACTTGGTTTAGTTGGAGCTTTAATTTGGTGATGCATACAAGGAAAATAAAGTACATGCATATACATGATGGTCCTAAAAGTTTTTTCTTAGCTTCATCACAATATGTGTATAGCCTCTGGATTGAATCATCGAATTGGTAACCAATAAGGAAAACAAAGAAAAAAAACTTTTGTAGTAAATGGTGAATTAGCTGTTGTGCATGTTGTTATTAGCCGGGAAAAACAAATGGTTGGATTTGAAAGATCAAGAAGTTATTAGTTGAATCCACAATATGTCGATTTTAATAAACTAAAGAAAAACATATATATGAAAGTAGTTAAATGGTCCACTTTAACAATTCAAATCAATTTAGTTAGAAAAGTAACATCAAATCAACTCTATATATTTTTTACTTTTTGTTACTACGGCAACACTTGAAATCAAATGTCATGTGTCTAATGGTTACCAAATGAGCTAATTTAAAAATGTTTTGAGCCAAATGATCCGCGCCTCCGCGGTTCAAATTTGGTACTTTGTGATACTTTGGTTCAAATTTCATTTCAAACCGGGAATTGGTTATTCTTTGGTTCAAATTTGATCTGCGGGTTTGTGTAACACGAACCATGTAGAGATTGAAATTTCTCTTATTAAATTGAATTTGAATGACTTGAGATGTGTGTTTTATGCAGCAGACCCCACACAACTTCACAAATAAGAATACTTGTTCAAAAATGATATAGGTACCCCATTTTGGGTACCCATTCTTACCCCTATTGTGTGGCCACAAATTGGGCAACACATTTAAGTGGGACAACACTTAAATGTGGGCTCATTTGGACCAACTCATACTTATTAGAAGTCTAGGAAACTGGAAACATAATACAATCAGATAAGAAAACTATGAATATACAACCAGTTTCATAATGTAAGAGAAGATAGTATAACATAAAAGTACATTTTAACAAACAATATTACAATAACATCGCAACTGATTACATATATGTGTATGATTACATTTTTGTCCTATCATCACTGTTTCTACACACAACACAACAAGATGTTGAGACCTCCTCCCTCACAATGAACACATCAAAACAGTAAACAAAAAGGTTCACACTTCATTTGATACTTTTGAAGATCCTTCCCTATATTTTTCTTCATCAATCACCATCATCACATTCATCTCACAACCTGCTGCATAGGAGGAGGAGGATAGAGATCCTTGCAGGAGTTCTTCATCATATTATCTGCACCAGCACTTCTTCTCATTATCAATGACCCATGGCGGCGAAGAGGGCTTGATTTACCCCTACATGACAGGAAATCCTGTGAATGCCTCTGCATGCTGCTGCTGTTATCATCACCACATTGAGATGAAGAGGAATTATATGTTTTTCTCTGCTGCAGCTTGTTATGTTTTGCCTTAATGGACTCAGTGGGTGCCATGTAGTTTGGTGCATTGTTACGTGGCAGCGCCTCTTCTTCGGGCGACGAAGACATCGGCGAATGACTTGTGCTGTCATTGTTATACAACTGATGCCAGGATGAGGATGAGGATGAACACAGCTGATCGGATGGTGGGGTTGCTTCTTTTGCTGCTGAAATCCTGGTAGACATGTTGTTTCTTCTGATTTTGACAGAAGAGCTGTTAGGGTGTTGTTCAAGATTGGATCCTCCTCCCACTCCTCCAGAGGTGGTTGTCATCACTCCACCAGATGATGAGTCGGTGTCTCCTCCCACTGACTTACTGAACTCCCAGGGCTTAGTTGCGACCCAACGATCAAGCCAGCTATTGTCCCCTTCCTTCTCCCCCGCTGTCTTTATCTTTGCTGAATTCACCAGCTTCTTTCTTGTGCTTACAGGGGTTGAGGTTGGATTGGTTCTTGTTTGCTGCAAATTAGAATAATTCAATTTTATCATCATGCTTTTCCTTACATTGATTCCTACTACTATGTTCTTAGATCTTTCAAATGTCTTTACTTTCTTTCTATACTACATATAATATTTACTTCGTATATTGTATACTTGAAACTCCATGTGAATGATTTATGCTTTCAGCATCTAGTCCGGTTGATTACAAGTTCTATTTAAAAGTATTCATTGAAGAAGCAGTTATTCACCAAGTTGTTGAGATAAGTGAACAAAAATAGTATACCAGTTTAGAATTAGCATAAGCGAGGGCTCTCTCCCTCTTCATGGCACCTTCTTGCTTCTTCATCAATCTGCACCTTTCTTCTTCTACTGTTCCTGGGCTATTACTCCATTCATTCTGTAAATTTCAGAAGTTAGGAGGACGGGAAATCATATTTCCTAGAAGCTCGATAGGTATCAAATAGTACTGATAAGGAACTTAAAAGAAGTGACTGATCAATGTACCTCAGGAGCTTGTTTGATGAGATCATCATCATTTGCCTGAGAAGAAGATTGAGCTCTAACTCGTGCTTGAACTCGAACCAGAGCCTGCATGCACCTTAATGTCACAGCAGCTTGCTTTCTCACCTGTCGACCGCGAAATATGGCCTGTATCCTCACCACTCCTCTCAGCGCCCTCAGTGCCCGTTTCGCCTTCACATCAGTAAATATTCTTATCATGTTTAATATTAGGGTTCTTAATGCTGAAAATTTAACGTATTCTGCAGAAAGTGGTGAATGAATTCGGAGAAATTACCAGAAATCCGCGAAATGCAGTTTGGATCCGAATCGCAGCCCATTCCTGCTTCATCAAGACGAATTCCTTGTGCGGAGCCCTAACCACAGTCGCCATGGCGGCGGCCAGAGCGCTATCGGACACGAACGAAGAAATGGATCCTTCCGAATCTTCATGATACTTCTCTGATTTTCCAGGCCTAGGCCCGCCCGATCCACTCCTCCATAGCTTCCAGACCCTGCATGTCCCTCCCTCCTTCGCCTACACATTCCAACATACTTGTAAATAAAAGCAAAAAATTTAATTGAGGATCAGTGCGAAAACGATGAATTGCAGAGGAACTTACTGTGGCCTGTTTGGAGTGAGATTTCTTGAGGGTGATAAGTGATTTGATCCAATTTCCAGAAGCGCCCATGCTTTATCCAAACTCAGATAATCTCTTTTAACAAACAAACAGAACTGATTCTCCTTCCTGTTTTTTCTTCTACGAATATAGAAAAAAATTGAAGTTGGAGGTAGAGAATGAGGGTTGAGCTTGATATACAGCTAAGCCGCGTTTGGGGTCAGATGTGCGTTTGAATTTCGAAATTTGAAAACCTAAAAACACTCGAAAAGGCAGCAACGGCTAGTATCCGGTCCTACTGGCGTGGTGTTTTGTCACTGCTGTTTCGTTTCTGCTTTATCTTTTCTTAATTTACTCTTTTTTTCTCCATGCCGATTTTTCGCTCAACTATTTTGTGGATCACGAGATTGGATGGCCCAATCCCTCTCCATCAATTAAATTGGATCCATCATTTTTTGACACTAAATCAACAGGATGTTAGAAAAGTAGTGGGCAGGTTTGACAAATAATTTAAGGCTGTCCAAAAAATTATCTTGGAGTATGAGAACCTAATGTTATTGATTGTTATTGATTGCAACATGATTTATTTATTTATTTGAGAAAACTGTCACTTCCGTCTTTGTATTATCGCGAAAAAGTCAATTAGGTCATCACACTTTAAAAAAATCATTCAAATCTCCGAACTTTGTAAAAACCTTTAATTGAGTTCATTTGCAGGTTACTTGTCATGTCAGCAGACCACTCGCTGACGTGGCGGTCCACGTATGCGCCATGTCATCATCAAATGGATCATTGGACTTTCACATGTGTACCACGTCAACAAAGTCACTGCAGATTGGATTGTCACGTGTGCACCACGTTAGCGGGTGACCTACTAACATGACAAATAATCTGTAAATGGGCTCAATTGAACGTTTTTTTTTTACAAAATTTGGGAATTTGATTGATTTTTTTAAAATTACGAGGACCGAATTGATTTTTTCGTGATAGTACGTAGACAAAATTGACAATTTTCCATTTTTTTGCATCATTCCAAAACTTCACTTTTTTGTTACAATTCCCATACTTAATTACATTTTATTTATTAATGTATGATAATTATTTTTTTGGAAAATATTTTTGAATTCATTTCATTATAAATTTTGATAATATAATTTTTAAATATGTTTACTAATAAAGAACTAAATTTAATGACAGTCTAAGTTGTGCAATGATAAGCGTGAAAATGAGAATGGTGGAACTAAAAAGGAGTGGTTGTAGTGTTACTTAATAAACTGTTTAGAATATAGTCAAGGAAAATATAATTAGCTCTTGAGAAACTACATATGTTCCGTTTAAGACATATAATCCTTTCTACAACTCCAAGACACCAAATATATATGTATACTTCACTTGGTTACTTATAAAATACAACTACCACTACAGAAATTTAATACATTATGTATATGTGGCTATGTGCTATACATACTTCTAATCTGATATAATCTATTGTGAGATGTATGAACATATAAATGCATATTTTTACACCTTACTATGTAATGTCCTAATCCAATTATTCAATATTTACCAACCCATGACAGTTCCATATGGCCATATTAGTTACAAACCTATCCACATTGAAAATCATGATATGTGACAATAAAAGAGAGTAGGAGACCAGATATTTAGGTCGTAGCCTAACCTATTACTCCCTCGATCCCTAATAAAACTTCCAAATAGGTTTGACACACAGTTTAAGATAGTGTGTATTGTGTGGTAGAGAGTTATGCAGAGGAGAGAGAAATGTGTAAGAATTGTTGTTAACCACAAATTCTAGCCAAAAAGGGAAAGTGAAAGTTTTAATCGAGACGGACGAAAAAGGAAAGTTGAAAGTTTATTTAGGGATGGAGGGAGTACATGTAAAATGCATGTTTTTAGCTTGAGTCTGACGTTTTTACAAACCCGACATGCCCTGAAGCTTGTTAAGAAAAAGCAAGAAGTCCAAAGAATGAAAAATAGTTTTTTTATTGTTTTTCTGAATTTGAAGTACATACAAATTTATAAGCTACATAACAAACAAATTATTAGACATTAAAAATAAATTTTGATGTATTACTGTGGTTTTAGGGTCTAATTTGAGAGATAAGTTC